TGCAAAAACTATGTATGCCATGGTACCACTTTGGTGCCATTTTAAAAAACTGAAATAACATTTGAAGTATATTTCTTGGGTGTTAAAAGGCAGCAAACTAACTATAGCATTTTGCTTATTTAACTAAGAATTACGTACGAAAATTCTTTGATGACATATCTTAATTTTAGGAATTTATATTACCGCCATCTTCGACATTTTTTTTAAAACCTAAAATTTCCAAGCTATTATGCCGGCGTCAAACAAAAGAATCGTATCTAAGATCTGCGGACGGCATAGCGTTAATACCTCTCCAGCACATAGATCGTGTTAATTTGAACCTTCAAAAATTCGTACTCGGCCGATCTTCAAAAAATTCGTACTTTCATCGACAAATTCGATGAACCCGAAACGAAATTGTATTCGACTCTATAATGCGTGTGGTATCTGTGCATTCATCTTTCGTATTAATATTTATAGCGGGATGAATTTTAATGGCGAAACCGTGCGCTGTTTTATGCATGAGAATCGTCTGTCCACATCTAACACAAATGACGCGGTAATAACATTGTTTTCTAAATTACAAATTTAACGGTTCACGGAGGACGTACACGGTATCGGTTTAGTGTTCACATAAATCCGTCTTGCTTCTAATCGAAAATACAGCATCGCGTTATTACGACCTGGCATACATGAATAAATATCGCTGGAACACGCGACATGTTGGAAGACGACTTCGATCAGTCAGATAATTGTTGCATTCGCTTGCATAGTTGTCCACGAGCGGTAATCGTGCAAGTGGAGTCGTCGTCTTCGTGTCTCCGGTTCTCGGTGTCGCCGTGCCGTTAACCTTCGACTGGCGGCGCGCGACAATTTGACGTTCCGTCGGGCTGCGGAACAAGCTATAAAAAATTTGCTCACCACTAGAAGGTTAAAAGACACTGTCAGCGGTCGCTGCGGGCACTCTGCGATAAATCAAATACACGAGTACAATAACTCCAATAATTAGACAGTGAAGTTCCCCCGGGCTCGGCAAACACCGGCGAACAAACTGTCGGCCGGCCCTCTCTCGTCAACCCCTCTGCCGCCAGACCGACCCTGGGACGTGCGACGTGTTTTTGTCACGGTCGCCATTATGCGTGCACCCCGATTGGATTTTCAGTAATTCATGTAAGCGTAGCACGGCGGTTTGTGTGGCGAAACAGCAGATCCATGGCCTCAAAAGTCAATTTTGAAATTTTCATATTTCGGACGATTGATTTTTCTAACGGGTTTACAACCATCTAGACCTTTAAAATCTAAAATATTAGTTCACGCGGACGGTTCTGTTATAAATCTGTCTCTTATACACATCTTAGATGTGTATAAGAGACAGATTTATAACAGAACCGTCCGCGAGATGTGTATAAGAGACAGATTTATAACAGAACCGTCCGCGAGATGTGTATAAGAGACAGATTTATAACAGAACCGTCCGCGAGATGTGTATAAGAGACAGATTTATAACAGAACCGTCCGCGAGATGTGTATAAGAGACAGATTTATAACAGAACCGTCCGCGAGATGTGTATAAGAGACAGATTTATAACAGAACCGTCCGCGAGATGTGTATAAGAGACAGATTTATAACAGAACCGTCCGCGAGATGTGTATAAGAGACAGATTTATAACAGAACCGTCCGCGAGATGTGTATAAGAGACAGATTTATAACAGAACCGTCCGCGAGATGTGTATAAGAGACAGATTTATAACAGAACCGTCCGCGAGATGTGTATAAGAGACAGATTTATAACAGAACCGTCCGCGAGATGTGTATAAGAGACAGATTTATAACAGAACCGTCCGCGAGATGTGTATAAGAGACAGATTTATAACAGAACCGTCCGCGAGATGTGTATAAGAGACAGATTTATAACAGAACCGTCCGCGAGATGTGTATAAGAGACAGATTTATAACAGAACCGTCCGCGAGATGTGTATAAGAGACAGATTTATAACAGAACCGTCCGCGAGATGTGTATAAGAGACAGATTTATAACAGAACCGTCCGCGAGATGTGTATAAGAGACAGATTTATAACAGAACCGTCCGCGAGATGTGTATAAGAGACAGATTTATAACAGAACCGTCCGCGAGATGTGTATAAGAGACAGATTTATAACAGAACCGTCCGCGAGATGTGTATAAGAGACAGATTTATAACAGAACCGTCCGCGAGATGTGTATAAGAGACAGATTTATAACAGAACCGTCCGCGAGATGTGTATAAGAGACAGATTTATAACAGAACCGTCCGCGAGATGTGTATAAGAGACAGATTTATAACAGAACCGTCCGCGAGATGTGTATAAGAGACAGATTTATAACAGAACCGTCCGCGAGATGTGTATAAGAGACAGATTTATAACAGAACCGTCCGCGAGATGTGTATAAGAGACAGATTTATAACAGAACCGTCCGCGAGATGTGTATAAGAGACAGATTTATAACAGAACCGTCCGCGAGATGTGTATAAGAGACAGATTTATAACAGAACCGTCCGCGAGATGTGTATAAGAGACAGATTTATAACAGAACCGTCCGCGAGATGTGTATAAGAGACAGATTTATAACAGAACCGTCCGCGAGATGTGTATAAGAGACAGATTTATAACAGAACCGTCCGCGAGATGTGTATAAGAGACAGATTTATAACAGAACCGTCCGCGAGATGTGTATAAGAGACAGATTTATAACAGAACCGTCCGCGAGATGTGTATAAGAGACAGATTTATAACAGAACCGTCCGCGAGATGTGTATAAGAGACAGATTTATAACAGAACCGTCCGCGAGATGTGTATAAGAGACAGATTTATAACAGAACCGTCCGCGAGATGTGTATAAGAGACAGATTTATAACAGAACCGTCCGCGAGATGTGTATAAGAGACAGATTTATAACAGAACCGTCCGCGAGATGTGTATAAGAGACAGATTTATAACAGAACCGTCCGCGAGATGTGTATAAGAGACAGATTTATAACAGAACCGTCCGCGAGATGTGTATAAGAGACAGATTTATAACAGAACCGTCCGCGAGATGTGTATAAGAGACAGATTTATAACAGAACCGTCCGCGAGATGTGTATAAGAGACAGATTTATAACAGAACCGTCCGCGAGATGTGTATAAGAGACAGATTTATAACAGAACCGTCCGCGAGATGTGTATAAGAGACAGGACCTATACCATAACCTTAAACCTTGAAACAACGCTAAAATAATTGCAGCTTTAGATCGCCGCTTCGCCAGACCGCTGCGCGCCGGTGCTCGAACAGGGGGTGGTTTCAACGCACCGGAAGACCCACCCCTGCGTCGCGATACAAAAATCGTCTCCTTCGGTTATCGAAGCTTCTCTTTCACCGAGAGAAAGAGAAAAAGAGAGAGAGAGAGAGCGCGCGAGCGCATGGAGTGAGAGAGAAAGGGGCGGAAAAAAGCCGCGAGTCTTTTGTGCAGCCGATCGGAGAGGGTGCTTTGTGTCGGCCCCGCGAAAGTGCGCCGCGCCGCGTCGGTCTTCTGGACGCGTGCACGCGTGTGCAGGCCGATTGGGTTTTCAGGAATTAATGGCCGTTGGTCGCGAGAATTCTAAGAACGAATGCGGACGACACCGTGAAAAATTTATCGGGGCCGGCCGCCCCCTCGCGGCCAGCATCTTTTCAAACGGATCTTCACAAAAGCTGTCGCTCCCCGGAGCTTTGTCTGGCCCCGACGCGACGCGGCTACGAACGCTCGCCCCTCCCTGTTCATGAATCTTTGAGGATTCGTCGCGTACCTGGCAATCGGACGTCTCCTTTTGTTTCGACTCCGTGTCCAGACGAGTCCTGCGGCCCGGGTGCCCTCTGCTGAAAGAATGATCGACGACGCGTCTGCCGCAACGCTTATCGATTGCTTCCTCCTCCATCGCGCGGCCCCTGTACTTTTAAACGGCGCGAAATAATAATATTTAACTTCCCCCGATGAAGCAACCTTTCGACATCGAACGTGCAAGATCAGTCGCAGACTTCAAAATTATGCATCAATATTTTCGAATTTGGCGGTATAAATCATGGTGCAAGTCAATATTCGAATTTGGTGGCGTATCTAAGAGATCTATTATTAACGATGTTATTGCAGGATGGATTTCTCCGCGAGTGTCTGCTTTTGTTGATTATTTTCTAAATCGCGGGAAATTTTAGCTGACGCGAACATGGCTTCGTTGCAGATCTTTTCATATTTTCTATGTCTTTCCATGTTTTCCCTCGCGAGCCTCGTTATCTATTTTTCTCCGTTATTTAGTTTATTTATATTCTCTTTACTATTAAATTTACTTTTAATTTGATGTAACATTTTGTATGTAACTAGGACGAGTTGAAGGTTATAATTAAATTAAATTAAAGGACTACCAAGAAAGGAATTTATTTATTATTTTGTATCTAGCATTATCTTTTGCTTATCGTTATTTATTTGATGAACAAAAATTAAATGCTCGCGCCTGGGACATATTTCTTCAAAATAAATTTGGCAGTCAACGTGGATAAATTTAGAATAAATTAATAAATCGCGTCACTGTACCTATCGATCTTTTATTACGCTCCTCCAATCTTCATAGAAAGATATTCCACAAGAGCGATAAAATAACGATGCTAATTACTATAGACTCCGGCTAGGCTGTAACAAAATTGTACCATTGTGTTCGGACAATGCAATGGTGCAAAAGCAATCCAACACGAACGACGGAACAATGGCGAAAGGGAGTTGCACGATTGGGACGAAAAGAAAACGAATCCGTGGCGGTCTAAGGACGGATCTATCGATTTCGCGTCCCAAGCGTAACATCTCGGCGATCAGAGTTCTTTCGATTCCTATCCCCCTCGTGGTCCAGAAAACGAGGCTTTGTTGTCGCCCGTGGGAAAAATGATTTCACCCGGGGGACCGACCGGTAAGCTCCTTAACCGCCCGCAAAGAAGTTTCTAACGAAGACCGTTTCTCTTGTTCTGTTACAGCGATCATGGCGCATTTCTTCTTCCTGGCCGCGTTCTTCTGGCTGAACACGATGTGCTTCAACATCTGGTGGACCTTCAGGTGAGTCCCAATTTCGTTCTATGCGTGTTCATCGGGACGACGGTTTATTCATTCTCGCGCGCTTTCGGTCGAACAGCTCCCATTCGACGCGAGAGCATCGCACAATGGTGAATTCGATCGAAATCGTGGACAATGCTAATAACTCGGTAATTATTGGTTTTTGAGGCCACGCACCTTCGTACCTTTTTACTCGGCATTGAGTAATCCTTCGAATTGTGACATTGAATGCAACATATTATTACAAAAAGATTCAACGTGTCCTTCATTGTCTTGATAAAAAAGCAAAATAACGAAAGGCTAATTATTTTATATATTTATATCATACAACTTCCGTTTGAAACATTTTTTTGTATAACTAGACTGTGGATCTTCATGCAAAATAAAAATTGTCTGCTCTAATTGCAAGACACAGGAGCCGATCACAAGTTTTTTTCTCCTTTTAATAATTGTGATAAGTTTACATTAATAGTATATTTGTTATAAGTTCGTAATATGTTATATTATGAATATTATAATATAATATTATAATATTATAATAATATTGTGAATATTATAATATAATATTATAATATTATAATAATATTGTGAATATTATAATATAATATTATAATATTATAATAATATTGTGAATATTATAATATAATATTATAATATATAATATATTATGTATTCATAATATATTATTATTTCACATTGTTAATTTCTTTTTATCTTTTTACCGTTTTAAATTACACCAACTGATTTTTACCATAAATGCAGAAAATGCGCAGTCTGTGTAGCAAGAAATGGTTCGCAAGTAATTTAACATTTCGCTCAAATAATTCGCATGGAATATATAAAAATGGCTATTTTCAATTCTAAGATAAATTGCCAGATTTATAAATCGATACAATAATCGATATCGATTAATAAATGGATACCACCATGTAAGCATTTAGTGAGGAATACGACACAATAGATTCATCGGTTTACCACCTGTAAATTCGATATCATCAAGTGCGAACGAACCACCGTGGTCTTTCGCAAGTGTGCGTTTCTGACGCGCCGAGCGATTGCTCAACGTTCCGCGAATTGCCGGTTAAAAATTATGGAAATTGGCGACGCGTTAATTGTCACGGAATTTCCGTGACGAGGCGGGTTAATGGTAACGGTGGGCTTGGGCGGCGGTCGTACCGAGACGAAGAGACGTAACCCCGGATCGTGTGCGCTGTCAATTAACACCGGAGAGGGCAGGTTATCGACCTGGCCGAGTTACGCCGGCTCTCGCTCGCTCTCGTCCGCGTCGTCTTCGATCAGAAGGCCACTCGTTACTTCGCAATTATGCAATTGCCGCGCAATTACGCAACCGCCGCCGCGCGCGGCCGACAATTAATTCATCCCATCCGCGAGTAAATCGCGGCCGGGCTGATACCCGGCCGATAACTGTTAAGTGGTCGCCGGAGACTCGAGACTGCCGCGGTGAACGTCTGCTCCGCGAAAAACAGCTTCCGGGGCACCCGACAACCCGTTTTTCCATGGGGCCCCGTGAGCCGACGCACCGTGGTCTGGCGAAGCAACGATCTCCGGTCGAAATTATTTTACCGTTGTTTCGAGGTTTACGATTATGATACTATTCAATTTATTTATGTGTGTGTGTGCGCGCAGTGTTTCCTTGTATTGCGAAATATTAAAGTGAGGCGGGACGAAATCTGCTTAAATTTAAACGCGACGAGAATGGAAAGTTTTAATAAAGACAACTGCGAAACGATGGGGAAAGGAATCATCGATGAAAGTAAAGAAATCTGAAAGAACAGACATGATAAGGCCTCAATCGTTTGTATTGGGTTTTTGGGTAATTATTGGGTAATTATGGTATTTCCGGGAAATTAGAGATTCCTGAGGTCATCCGAAGCAACTTTTTCCTTTAGAAAAATTTTCTCCGAGGCGTCGTTATCGAGTTATTAACGAAGAACACTGACCAATGAGAGACGAGCTCGGCTGGCGCGAAGCTCGGTTCCGCTCGTTGGCTCAGCCGCCTCGCGCCTGCCGAGCTCGCCCCTCATTGGTCACTGTTTTTCGCTAATAACTCGCAAACAAAGCCGTGGATTGCATTTTCGCTAAGGAAAAAGTTACTTCAAATAACCTCAAGAACCTCTCATTCCGCGTAAATACCATAATTCTGGGACATCCTGTATACGTATGTACGAAGGGGAAAGGGAGAATAAGCGGTTAAAGAAAACTGCTTCTATTATAATTAAACTTCGGATGTTACGCATTTATCGCAAAAATGAATAGCTCAAATTCAAAATCGTAAAGCATATAGAAGAATTTATGGTTACTGTTGCATCGTTTTCAACGATTATCAAAAGAGGCAAGACATTTCCATCAAACTTATGTTTCTTAGAATTACCCTGAACAATTTTTATTTTGCATTCACAGTCTGATTATAATGATAAAAAGTTTATCATTAAATTATTATCGAATCCACCTATTTCCATGATCGGTAGAAATTGCAGCTATTTTGTTACTTTTATCTCGTGCTGTACTTGCGGGAGCCATTACTATATTATTAACCGATCGTAATTTAAACTCGTCGTTTTTCGATCTCTCGGGAGAAGGAGATCCCATTTTGTACGAACGCTTACGTTGATTTTTTGGACACCCGGAAGTTTATATTTTAATCCTACCAGGACGTCGTAAAAAGTTGTATCTTATTACTAGACTGCGGATCTTTCTGCAAGATTTTCCGGAACGATTCTTAGTAACAGAAAGTAAATTGTTTGCTTATCTTCGGATATAAATTGTTTGCTACATCTTATTTCTTTGCTTCATTTCTTCGCCTTACGTTCTTCATAATTTAATACTTTCGCTCTTCATTTTTGCCATAAATGCCTGCAATCCGTGGTCTACTTATTACAGAACCAATATTTCAGTTTTTAAATCTCTCGAGAAATTGTGAGCCCATTAGAAAAAGCAATCGCTCGAAACATGAAATTTGCAAAATTGGCTTTTGTCCGTGGATCGCTGCACCGTCGGACCACTGTGCCGCGGACGGATAATCACGGGAAACGATCGGCAGAAACGCTGCAAAAACCGCGGCGGAGCGGCTCGATAAATAATAACTATTAACGATTACTCGTCGCCGAGGAGCGATCGCCTGCTCGCCGGACACGCTGATTTATTTGCGGGCTGCGCGCACCGCGCGGATAAAAACCGCTAATAATTATAATTTATTGACAGGCCGGTGGCCTTTCGCTAATAGACAACGAGCATTCAGATGATTGCCCAACGTAACGGAAAAACCGATGTATCCTTCGGGCCGATTAACGCCGGAAAAAATCGGCCGCGGGAATTTTCTTCACCCGTCGAAAAGAGTCATTGACTCCAAGGAATGCCGCTCGAACGGCTGCTCTCTTACTCACCGCGGTTTCTCTGAGAAACTCGGGAAATCAATGATCCGGAGAAATTGATTTCCTATTTGCAAGCTCCGGCCTCGCGAACTTTATGCATCTGCTCGGATGCACAGCGGCAATTCCGGAATTACTTCGCCGCGAGGTCAACGGAAGCCTACTTTCATTTAGGAGCTCGCCGTTTCGCGATCGGATTGTTCGCCGAATCGTAAACCGCGTCTTTTGCATAGCAATTCTTAATTAGTGATCCTTACGTAGTAATTCTTACGTAGTAATCCGTACACAGTAATTCTTGCGTATTAATTCTTACATAGTAATCCTTGCGTAGCATGTAATCCTTACGTAGCATGTAATCCTTACACGGTAATCGTCGATGCGAAAATACAACTAAGAGCTGCTGCTCTGAAAATTAATAAACGTAAATTAAATATAATATAAAAAAAATATAATATAAAAAAAATATAATATAAAAAAATATAATATAAAAAAATATAAAATTCCAGTCCAATCGAATCGCTTTAACTATTTTATTAATTCCTATTTCATTCTATGTATGCATAAACATGTTATACAATGTATAATCTAAATAATGATAGAATTCTAACATTTGCGTTGATCGTATTTGAAAATGTGCATCACCTGCAAACATTACCTATGATTTTAAATTAAAATTCATTTCGTTAATAATACCTAGGCCTGATAAAACCAGACCGTAGCTTTCTACGTACTCGAAGCATAAGAAACTTCCAAGCCGCAGAAAAGCACATTTATTAAGGCTAACTGCGTTTTTATGGCACACGAATCGTTAGAAACCTCGTCGTCGTAAAAAGACTTCGGCATCCCGATTCGATTTTTCACTAAATACTCGAATGATATCGGAAGAATCCGCGTAAGAGTCCGCGATCTAATTACAAGAAAACCGGACTTTAGTGGCTGTACGATGTTCCGCGACTTAACACAGAATATTTTGAATCGATGGCTAACATGTCGGCCTCGATAAAGGACCGATCTAGGAGTACACGCAGAATTTTTCTAATTATCGTAGTGGTGGTAGTACTATGCTCTAATGATTTCCTGAAATTAATTTCATCGCAGTCGCGTAGAATCCGCTGTCTACTAATCACACAAGTCGCTCCTATCTTTGTTATTACGTTTCTCCGCAGGTGGAAACGTGGAATAATTGCATTGCAATTGACAGATGTGACGGGTGTAAAATGATACTTGTCGCGTGGACGCTAAACCTACCATCGTCGGTCGAACGACCGGTTTCATCATTCTTTCTTTCGTAGTTGTCGAAGTCGTAAAGCCGCGACCATTAGAGACTGTCGAATATTTTTCTTCGTTCGGGCACACGTTGTTATGGGAATTGTGAAAAATTTCAATATAGTCCATTTTGTAATTTTTACGTGGCGACGGTTATTAGTTGCTTTTGATAGGTCCGGCGTTAATTGCAAGCTTCGTGCTACAGTAAATTCTCTCTAATTGACGATCAGATTGTGCACACAAATGGACAATTTCGAAAGAGGAGATACGATTTTATAGTTGCCGATTGTCAACAACTATAAAAACGAGCCCCAAGGCTCGAACAATCGTATCTCCACTTCCTAAATT